TAGAGCTTAAAAAGTAAAAAAAAAAAAAAAAAAAAACAATCTGGCTAAACAGATGTTGTCACCATCAGTGACTCCTTCATTGACCTTGACTACATGGTCTACATATTCCAGTATTATTCCATCCATGGCAAGTCCAATGGCATAGTCAAGGATAAAAACAAGAAATTTTCATCAACTGAAAGTCTATCTCTATTTTCCAGGAACAAGATCTTATTGACATTAAATGAGGAAATGCTTGTGCTGAATATGTTGTAGGGTCTACTATCTAGGAGAAGGTAGGAACCAAAAGGGTCATTATCTCTGATCCTTCTGATGCCCCACATTTGTGACAAACATGAACTAAGAGGAGTACAAAATATAGTCAGCAATGCCTCCTGCACCACCATCTGTTTAGCCCCCTGACCAAAGTCATCCATGACAATTTTGATGGACTCATGACTACTGTCTATAACATCACTGCTACTCAGAAGACTGTGGATGGCTCTCGGGAAAACTGGCTTGTTGGCCATGGAATTGCCCAGAACATCATCCCTGTGTCTACTGGTACTATCAAGGTTAGGAACAAGATCATTACTGGCATGTGCCCACCTCACAATGTATTATTAGTCATGGATCTGACCTGACATCTAGAGAAAGCTGCTAAATATGATGGCATGAAGAAGGTGATGAAACAGATGTTGGAAAGCTCCCTAAAGTGCATCTTGGGCTCTGCTGAGGATCAAATTGTCTCCTTCAACTTGACATTCTTCTTTGATGTTGGAGCTGGCACTGCCCTCAATGACTGCTTTGTCACTGAGTTGGCAACAGCAATAGGATGATAAACATGGCCCACTTATGGCCCATATGGCTTCCAAGGAATAAGAGCCCCCTGGACCACTGGCCCTGGCAAGAGCACAAGACAAATTAAGAGACTCTCAGCTGCTGGGAAGTCCCTGCCCTAACTCAGTCCCCCAACACACTGAGAATGTCCCCTTGTTACTAGTTTCTATTCACATTCTGTGAAAAAAGGTTTGGGACTACGGAGCCCTACCTTGTCATGTACTATTAGTAAAGTCTGCTTCATCCCAAAAAGAAAAAGAAAAGATGTCAACATTGCTAAGCATATGGAAAATGCAAATTAAAATTTCAATGATACCACTTCACATTCAGGATGGCTATTATCAAAAAGAAAGAAAATAACAAGTGTTGGCAAAGGTGTAGAGAAATTGGAACCCTTTTACATTGCTGGTGGGACTATAAAATGGTATAGAAAATAGTATGACAGTCCCATCCCCCTCAAAATTAAACATATAATTACCATATAACCCAGCAATTCCACTTTGGGGTATATATACAAAAAAAACTGAAAGTAGGAACTCAAACAATATTTATACACAAGTATTAGAGCAATTTTATTCACAATAGCCAAAAAGGTGAAAACATTTCAAATGTCCATTGACAGATGAATAGCTAAATGAAATGCAGAATATACATATTATTATGTCAAAAAAAAGAATGGAATTCTAACACATGCTACAACATAAAGAAACCTTGAAGACAGTATTTTCTAATTTTCTTTGTGATTTCTTTAGCTGATAAACTATGTAGAAATATATATTTCTAAACACAACAAGAATTTTCTACTTATCCTCTTATTATTATATTCTTAATAAATGCTTGATTGCACAATGTCCAAGGAATATACTCTATGTGAATTCAGTCTTTCAATTTGTTGAAACTTGCTTTATGGCCCAACATGTGGACAATTTTGTAAACATTCTCTGTATTCTTCAAAATAGTATTCTCCAGTTGTTGTGTATCATAATGGATCTGTCTATGCATCTCTCTCTATCAGGTTAGATTTGTTAATTATGCCGTTCAAGTATTTATTGTCACATATTGTTCACCACTAGTCACTGAGAGACTTGTGGAAAGCATTTTTCAACATAAATGTAAATTTTTTTCTCTTATAATTTTGTCATTTGCCTTACATATTTGAAGGCTATGTTATAAGTTCCCTGCAGTACTGAAATGAAAAATATCACTTGTGAATGGAATTTTTTAAAATCATTAAGGAGTAATATTTCTTTCTTTCAGGTGTATTCATAACTGCCTGTTCAAGCATTTTTATCATGACTGCTTTAAAATCTTTATTAGATAATGCTAACATCTTTGTCATCATTGATTGATGTTGTCATAAATTGTCTTTTTTACGTTCAGTTTGAGATCCTCCAAGTTTTTAGTATGAGTGATCTCAATGGAAACATGGGGATATTTTCTTAATTTGTCATAAAATTGTAAAACTTATTTTTTTCAATGAAAGCTATTATTTGAGAAAATATTCATAATATAAAATTTATCATCTAAACTATCTTATGTTCAATCCATTGACATTAAGTACATCCATGGTGTTGTATAATCTGCACCACTATTCTAGAACTTTCTCACCATCCTGATCAGAATCTCCATTAAACAATAACTACCCAGTCCTTCTTTCTCCCAACCTGTGGTTACCACTATTCTACTTTCCATCTTTTATAAGTCTATCTTTTCTATGGCCTTATATAAATGGATCACATATTTGTCCTTTTGTGTCTGACTTATTTTTCTTAATTCTTTCAAAGTTCACTCACATAGCAAGTATCATTTTTATGGCAGATGGATACATCACATTTTATTTATTTGTCTATTCATTTATTTATCTATTTTATTATTGTCTATGGCTTTTAACAGTGTACTCCTCCTCCTCAGCATTCTTACGATCTTATGAAAATATCATTATTCACTAAGAGCTTACGTAAGTTATTATTTTTGATTACCCCAAGCAATAAATCACAAGCTTCTGAGGTAGATTATAAACATGTTCTCATTTGGTTTATAGAGAACTTAGTGGAAAAATTGATATTACAATATATTTTTTCCAAAAATATATTTCAACCTTGTTTATAATCTCTTTTATTAAACTAAGATCCTCATTTAAGACTGACTTCTGTGCATTTCTTAGTTGGGTCAAAATGAAGGTGTAACGCTATTATCTGTGAACAGGCAAAATGTTATTTAAATTAATGTGAAACAACATTTTCTTACAAAGGAAATGTCATAAGGCCAAACAGAAAAGCTCCAGAGAAGTGAGCTCATTTTCATTTCATTGATCATATGATGTTTTCTTATACATAAGAAGTCTTCTGAATAAATTAGACATTTCAGATCTTTTTTTTTATCCAATCTGGAATTTCAATACCTGGAAATTTCAGTTCATGTTCAATTTCAAATTGTATATTATTCATTTTGGTTCATGTTCAATTTGAAATTATGGATTATTCATTTCTGATTTTCCTTCCTCTTAAAAATATTAGGTTGGGAAAGGAAAAGAAAATTAAGTTTAGTCTGTCCAATTTAGTTCCCTTTGATAGTGCTATTATATACTGAAGTTTGACAAATGACTAGCCAAAATGCTGGGTAGGGAGAAGGTTTAAGGCAAAAAAAAAAAAATTATAGCCAAAAAGTTCCCTGAGAACATCTTGATTTGTTTTGTTCCGTGTGCCTTCTCTTTTTATATTTTGTACATTTTATGCTATACAAAGATACTGTCTTTAATGCTTATTTTTCTTAGTTTCCAGGTTTATATGTTGATATCTATATATACCATATTACTTTGGATTCCTACTATGGATAAAACAATTCAAATCTACCTTCTCTCTATATGCAAAACATGAATATCAGAGGAAAAATTACTAATAGCACAAATCTTCCAAAAGTACTTTACCTACATCTATAAATATCTTGGAGAAATTAGAATCCTTAGGAAGCTAAAGTTGGTCAAGGGAACAAATATTTAAATTCTCCTAAGTATAGCATAGAAAATAAAGTTTGGCATCAACACTAATTTCAATTAATGGACATATATATATCAAAAAGATTGTCCATGTCCTTAGAGTATATGAAGATAAATATTTTAACTTTCCTTTCTTGGTAGATTTTGGGGGGTTTTAGTTTTTGTTTACATATGACTTTATTATTTCCTCAGATACTTTGATTATGGATAGGAAAAATTATGTACCTGAAATTAAGGGAATCATGTTTTGGCACATACCTGTACTTCTTTTTAAAATATTTTTTAATTATGGATGGACAATACCTTTATTTTATTTATTTATTTTTATGTAGTGCTGAGGATTGAACCCAGTGCCTCATACATGCTAGGCAAACGCTATACCACTGAGCTACAACCCCAGCCCCGTACTTCTTTTTGGTACTACATACTTCACTTTCTGTATGTGGTACATTTTATATCCTCCCCTAGATTAAATGACTTAAAAGCAAAAAAACCAGCCTATTTTCTAATTATATTATGCCTATTGTGGCACTTTGCACATAGTAGGTTTTTAATAAACTTTGGTTGACTGTGGAATTATTGAACAATCATGTAAAAATTACTTAAAATTAACAGTAAAAATGGAAGCTATTTTATTCTTAATCATATTGTAATGAAGACTATTTTAAATTCTTTGCAGTGATGATACACACAAATATTTAAACTATTTATGTGCCTCAACTTGACATAATTTCATGATAACTTGATGGCAATCACATTTAAATATATTAGAATATTTTTGTAATAATGCTATTCTAGAATAGCAACTTTAATAGCTGGGAAAACATGTTAATAATGGCCATTAACCTGAAGGAAACAGGAACATTAAATATTTTTTTCAGAAATAAATGTATAAGATTAAATATTCCACTATAATATTTATGAGCAAACCTCAAATTAAAATCTATAAAATACAAACCATCAAATGTTTCAGTTATAGAATAATTTAGACTATATTTTGTAATTTCTCCATGTACATATGGGTGAATACAGTGTAAAAAATTCATTTTCTTCTTTGGTGTCTTCTACTATCACTATTTAAATACCAAAATGAATTCTGCTTGAATGCAAGACCAAGGCAGTCCTGTAGAAGACCTTCTATCGATCAATATGATCTCAGTGTACACAAGCAAGTTATTTTCCTTACCTTCAGGACAGCTATGAATGGTACAAAGTTAGCCCTTTGGAGTCCATTTTTATAGAGGTCTGAAAGAAACAAATGATTTTTTTCAGTCTGGCAAATAAACTCTCCACTGATTTAAAATAAATTTTCAAAAAGATAAAGGAGCAAATTTTTTTAAAAGGTGATTTCTATTAAAATATAACACAAAATTCGCTATAATTTTGATAAAAAAATAGTCACAGAAAGATGAAAAGGCATTCAATCAAATTAGTTTTAAACACAAAGGGCATAGTTGCATATGCCCATAATCCCAGCTGCTGGAAGGTTGAGGCAGGAGGATCACAAATTCGAGGGCATTCTGGGCAATTTATCAAGATCCTGTCTCAAAATTAAGTTTTAAAAAGGGTTGGTGATGTAGCTCAGTGGTAGAGCACTTGCCTAGCATAATTGACATAGCTCTTGGTTCAATACCCAGTAATTCTCCCACCCCCATCACCAAAAATTAGCTTTAAGCAGTAATAAGATATAATAAAAGAATTTGGAAGCGATCCCTTCCGAAATCCTAACTTAATAGCCTAATATAAGAAGGTGATATACTTAAAAGTATCTAAAACTGGAATACATAGAATTCTATTGGGAAAAGAATCATAGTCTTATTTTCTCAGTCTATAATACAAATTTTCAGTAAAGAATTAAAATTTGTTTACTAAGATGAGCCTTTTTAGAAAACACATCAATAGAATTCCACCTGTATTTGTATCAAGGTTACATATTTGTCATCAAGGTAAAGATACGTCACTTTAAATGAAACTGTCTAAAAATTAAAACTCTAATTTCTATTCTCAATAAACTGTAAACAATTATATCATAAATAGGTAGTATTTACTGGTTTAGAAAGATGCTTTTCAATAAATGTATGTGTACAATGTATATTTGTTTACACATACAAACATACTTGTCATGAATAAACAACTAAAAAGGGGAAACAAATTTTAAGCACTGCATTATTCCTTTTTAAGTTTGTTTTTGTAGATGTAGATGGACAGCATGCCTTTATTTTATTTGTTTATTTTTATGCAGTGCTAACCCAGGGCCTCATACGTGCTACATGTGCTAGGCAAATGCTCTTGCCACTAAGCTACAGCCCCAGCCCACATATTATTCTTTAAAAAGGAAGACTTCTTAGAAAAAAAATGTTTAAAAGTTTGAAATTTTATTGCATAAGCCAATGTACAAAGTTATTAGATCTTTGAAAAAAATATAAAAATAGATATAGCAGGGGCTGGGGATATAGGACAGTGGTAGAACTCTTGCCTAGCATGCTAGAGGCCCTAGGCTCGAACCCCAGCACTACACACACACACACACACACAGGAACAGCAAAAAGTGTTCTCAATAATAATAAATACAAGTTAAATTAAATTGTATCTCATTCTTTTTAGTATGGACTTATGGGATCTTTTCTATATTTCCTTATTTGGAGAAAATGTGTTAAATATGATAGATTTCAACTGCCACATTTACTAATGGAAATAAAATATCATTAAGAAATATTTATTCTCTTTAGAAAAATGTTCATCATAATATCATTATAGTGAAGAAAGTATTTGCATAAGCTCTTTGGTTAATTAAGGACTAGAAGCTTCAATTCAGTTTCATTTAATATTTCATTTAGGGATACTGTAAAAGATAAATAAGGTTGGTCAGGCTGTTAAGATTTCAAAATTCAAAATAAGATATTTTCTTTCCTTATAGTCAATAATTCTAATGAGTAAAATGGGCAAAATGTAGGAAACAGGTTTAAAGTTAAGTATATTCATAGTCTTCCTTACCTACTAAGAGTTTCTGGGAAAGGTACATAAAAGTATTGCTGTATGTGAAGAGTTAACAACCATGATTGTCAAAAAGTGGTAAAAATTTTTAAATAAGATAATTTTTAAAATATACCCAATGTTTATGGCAGGTTTACTCATAATATCTAAAAACTTCAGTTTTTAATAATAGCTAAAAACTGGAAGCACTCCAAATGCCTATCATTAGCGACAAGATAAACAAATTGTGGGATATCTGTATGATGGAATACTACTTAGCAATAAAAAAGATAAAGTATACACACAGCAAAATAGATGAACCTCAAAACAATAACAGAGTAAAGGAAGCCAGACGAAAAAATTGAGTACATATTGTGTGCTTCCATTTATATAAAACTCTAGAAAAAGCAAACTAATCAATAGTAACAGAAAGAAAATTAGTGGTTGCCTGAGAGGAGGAGGACAAGGTTGACAGAGATGAAAAGGGGGAAAGGAAACTTTTGGGAGTGATGGAAAAGTTCACTACATGATTATGGTGACAGTTTCACAGATGTGGAGGTATGGCACTATTTTTAAAATTGTATCTTTTAAATCTGTGCTATTTGTAGTGTATCAAGTATATCTCAATAAGCCTTTTTAAATTTGTATTTAAAAAAGTATATACAACATTATTGAACATCAAAATACAATGCTATAGAATTAAAACTAAGATATTACAATAATGAAAGTTTTGATTAAGGTAATTGTTTGGTTTGTAGAATAACATCTTTTTATGACATATAAGGCCCTCTGATGTAGTTTAACAAGCATGCACCTTTTAAAATGTTAATGACAATGAGACAGATAAAGGCTTACTCATAATGTTCTTGATTAAAAGATTTTCACTCATAGAAAAGTTAAAGTAGAATAATAATGCTTTTATTTATTAGAGACTTAATTTTTTAAAGGGTTAACTTTTTAAAACTCTGCCTTGGCAAAGATACATAATTTAAAACTTTATACTCTGAGAAGTATTTTCTAAACAGAATTCTAAACAGAAATTATTTGGCTTGAAAACCTTTAGGGTTTTATAGGACACTTAAGTAAAAAAAGGATTGTACTCATTAAATTGAAGAGTTTCTCTGCAATTCAAATAACATGCTAATTATCAATGCAATAGATCCATCTTCTGAAATGTTATTTGGCTACCAAAATTTTTAATATTAGTTGTTTAATATTATTGTTGTTAGACATAAAGATTTTATAATACGTTGATATCAACGTTTGTCATTATTTACTAAATACTATTTAAAAATTTAGCAGTTCTCGCCTATGATTTTTTAATGCTCTCTGAACAGAGCTAAATGAACACTTGGTCATATAAGACAGAGTACTGGAATTATGAGACATTCATTTTGTAGAGAATAGCATAAGGACCTCTAAATTCTTCACAGTGAATGACTATAATAATACTTACAGATGAAATGCATGCAAAGAGGATTTTTAAAGTAATTACAAGTACATAAATACTTCGGAGATGCACATGGATATGCAGATCTTTTCCTTAAAAATCCAAGTGTCAAAACCCAGAGGGTGAATAATGCTAATTTATATATGTGTAAATCAGTTTAGGGTAAGAAAAACATTTAAGGCAGGTAATTAAAAAGAGTTTTCCTATAAAGTAGCATAGAATAATTATATGGTTTTATGGAGTCAATCTGATTTATCCTTCAAGATATTCTTATTTTATTATAGATTAGAAGAAAAGGGCATCTTTAGAACATTTAAACAGCAACAGCTACTTAGCTTCTTTGAAAAACACAACTAAAGTTCAAATAATATTACTAAATCTGAAGATAATATAGCTAATTAAATGTTCCTATTTGAGCGTATATTATTCTTTGATATTCAATTCAATATATAATCATAATTTCTACTATTTTTCTACACTGAAATGAGTGCTGAAGACAAAAGATAAACAAAAAGAGAAACTAGGATTTACAAAGTCCCTATTAGAAGCCAGGCAAGTTGATGGACACCTCACACAAATCATAATAACCCTACAAAGCAGATATTTTTATCTCTATTTTATAGATAAAGCAACTGATATCCAGGGTTTTGAAGATAACTGGCTGAATTCCCAGCCAGGAATTGATAGACCTAAAATTAGAGCCAAGGACTTTGATAACACTAAAATTTACAGACTTTTTCAGAATCACTGTGACCAGTGGGCTTATGATAGTTGACAGACATAACCAGATTGTAAATATGATATGAGTTAAAATGGGATGTCATATATAAGCCTAATACACAAAGCAGGAAACTTATAATTTTATCTGTGTGTTTAATGACAGCTTTATAGAGCTAACATTGGAACTGGACTACATTGGAACACTGAGAAGGTGCTACCAATTAGAGAGGACAAAAAAGAATTCTAGGCAGCAGAATCAGCATGAGCTTATGACCTCCTCTATCTTTGCTAATACTACGCTGCTTAAATGGCAATTTTTTGTGTGTGGTAGACCAACTTTCAGAGTGGTCCTTCATGATCCTCAACAAGTGTTCACAGCTTTGTGTAAACAATGGACACCAGAAATAGGAAAGTTATCTCTCAGAATATCGAACAAATGTAATGAACTCCACAACTACCCCCAGCTTAGAGCCTGTGGCAAGTTTATAGGATACTGTACAGAGATGGCAAACTAAGGCAGAGACACATGGACACAGGGAGTGAGAGAATCAGAGAAAAGAGAATGCCCAGTGAGAGAACATTGAAGATCACTGAATCCCCAGCTGAGTTCTCATCAGCAAAGGGGTGTGAGGAATTACCTGAAGCCAAAGAAAGAATTATCTAAAAGCATTTGAGGAAACGATCACTGGAGTTCACAGATGGCTGAAAACAGTGTCGTTCCCACCAAACTGCCATAATTCATGACACATTTGGTCAAGTACTGAGAAAGGATGATCTCAATAGTGAGAAAAATTAGTCCTAGAGTAAATGCTCTCTGGTCCTACCACAAAAAGTTTAAAAGCAATACTCAAAAGAATCAAACTGCTAGGAGAACAATACTCATGGGAATGATTAGGAATAAAAAATATAAATAAAAAATTTTTAAATAATATCAAAGTACTTAGAAGTTTAATGAAAATTATAAACCTACAGATCTAAAATGCTCAATAAACTCCAAACTTGGTGTAGAAGACTACACCAAGGCACATGGATAATCACACTGCTTCAAAATCGTAATAAAGAAAAATCTTATAAGTAGCCAGATGCTGGGTGCAGTGGGGGT